GAAAGAAGGAGAGAAAGAGGGAAGGTTGGCCACAGCAACACGTGGCGGGTAAAGGTTGTTATTTCTATTATTCGAGCCTCTGCTGTACGCCGCCATCTTGCTGCTGCTGGACCTGGCGATCCTGCGGCAGGGAGGAGTGTGCCGGGTCCTTGAGACCATCTGGGCCAGTTTCTGCCATCTGAACCTCCTACCCCCCGCCCCCCACTGGAGTCGATTAAGGCCGCCGCCGCGAACGCCGCCGCAAACGCCGTCCCAGTTGGGCCTCTGTTGTTTGGGCCTCCGAGGTCGCCATCATCGTGAGTGCCGCTCCGGCGCCCCGGCCAGGGCCGCTGCCGCCTGACCTATCACACGGGCCTGGGCCTACCACGCTGGTGGACCCCCCTTGCTGCCGCTTAGGCCGCGGCCGGCGGCCGGCTGCGGCCGAACCTCCGCTGGGCGTCGCCATCTTGTCGCTGTTGGTCCTTGTGATCTGGCGGCCGGGAAGAGGTAGCTGCCAGAGGAGCTGGGACCATCGAGACCATCTGGACCTTCCTCTCCCCCGCCCTCCCGCGGGAGCCGAGTAAGGCGGCTGGGGGCTGCCGCCGCCGCGAACGCCGCCTCGAACGCCGCCCCAGCTGGGGCTTCGGCTGCCTGGGTTTCCGAGGCTGCCGCCGACGCGAGCGTCACCCCGGCCGGGGCCTTTGCCGCCTGGATTCTACCACGCGGGCCTGGGCCCACTACGCGGACTGCTGCGCTGTGGGCGTCGTCCGGCTGGGCCTTTATCATCGGTCCTTTCCGGCTGGGCCTTTCCACCTGGCCTGTATAAGACGCCCACCATCGGGCCTCTACCATCCTCCACCACCTGCTGGGCAAGCAATGTGTAGACCTCTTTGTGCTGACCTGCTGTGTTGACCAATATTGTGTAAACCTCTTGTGTTGTCCTTTGTTTTGTGTTGATCGATATTGGTGATAGACCAATTGTGCTGACCACCGCCGTGTTAACCATCTCCGGAAGATTGAAGATCTATCCGCTTTCTAACATCAGCCGTCCATAGATTACACCTTGAATCATAATAACTTTACCTAATTGTTATTGCTGACAACCTCTTAATAGTGTGTTTACATATTACTAACATAGTACGTTCCTTATTTGCCTTCTGCCGTTAATTGGTATTAAGAACGCAATATAGCACTTTAAGGCACCTGCCTACTTGCTGCTAAATTGTACTAGCACTTGCGCCCTCTCCCTACCCTCTATGCCGCATCCTAGTTAGCGCTGAGAACTAGATTCGGGTATTGTCGCACTTTAAGATCCTTGCACTTTATGATTCTGCCCAACGGCACGCAGATGTATTGCTGACTGTGTTGCACTTTAAGACTCTGCACTTTACGAACTTTCTGACTGTCGTGGCTGAAGCGCTTATTATAGTCTGGACTACTATTACCCATGTGGTTCCCCATCCCCCTATTTGTACTGTCCCCGCTATTAGTGACCACCGGAAAGGGCAAGGAAGGAAGTGGGCTGGAGCCTGTGAACAATAATGTGGCGGGGAGGGGGGAGGAAGGGAAGCAAGGGAGTTGGCAAGGGCCAACAAACCAAACGACTAGCGAAACAGAAATTAAGACCTTGGTTTTGGATTGCGGCATGGAGGAGGGGAGGTGTTCCACTAGCCGAGGGGCCCCCATAGAGGTCGTGGTGGGGAGGGGAGATGCGGAAAAAGGAGACCTCAAATTCGGCCTAATTCGGACCGCTTACCAAATAACCCCAAATCGGTCTCCTAAGGTAAATTGGTGTAACCAGGAGAGCGGGCCCTCTGGATTGAAGGTGGTGCTGTTGAACGCCAGATCTGTCAACGGAAAAACGACCTTTATCCAGGATTTAATCCTGGATGAGCGGGCAGATCTGGCGTGCATCACGGAGACCTGGCTGGATGAAGCTGGAGGCGTGAATCTTACCCAGCTTTGTCCTCCAGGCTTCTCCGTACAGCACCAACCGAGATCCGGAGGACGGGGAGGCGGGGTTGCAGTGGTCTATAGAGATTCCATCCATCTGACCAGGAGCCCCATCCCGCAGACCACAAATTTTGAATGTGTCCACCTGAGGGTGGGTGACCGGGACAGAATAGGGATTCTGCTAGTGTACCGTCCACCTCGCTGCACTACAGTCTCCCTACCTGAGCTAGCGGGGGTGGTCTCGAGCCTGGCGTTGGAGTCTCAACGGCTTCTTGTGCTGGGAGACTTCAATATCCATGCCGAGGCGACCCTCACAGGAGCGGCTCAGGACTTCATGTCTGCCATGGCAACCATGGGGCTGTCCCAACAAATATCTGGCCCCACCCACTGTGCTGGACACACATTGGACTTGGTTTTCTGCCAGGGATGGGAGCAGGGTGGCGGTGTGGAGGAGTTGTCTATCTCTCCGTTGCCATGGACTGACCACTTCCTGATCAGATTTAGGCTCACTGCACCCCCTAACCTCCGCAAAGGTGGAGGACCCATTAAGATGGTCCGCCCCAGGAGGCTTATGGATCCGAATGGATTCCTGACGGCTCTTGGGGATTTTCCCGCCACCTCGGTAGGTGACCATGTCGAAGCCTTGGTCGCTCTCTGGAATGGGGAGATGACCAGGGCAATTGACATGATCGCTCCGGAACGTCCCCTCTCAAGTAGCCGAGCTAAACCAGCTCCTTGGTTCACTGAGGAGCTGGCAGTGATGAAGCGAAGGAAGAGGGAACTAGAGAGCGTGTGGCGTTTGGATCCGAGCAAGTCAAATCGAACACGGTTTGTGTCCTTTCTAAGGGCATATGCTGCGGCAATAAAAGCCGCAAAGAAACTTTCTTTGCGGCCACTATTGCGTCTGCAAGAACCGTCCGGCGGAGTTGTTCCGGATTGTCAGAGGTCTTTTAACTCCCGCCACCTCAGGCGGGAGCCCTGACAATTCG